AAGCACTAATGACAAAATATCCTGAAAAGTGCTCCTAGGCAGTTCTACTTCATTCTCCTCATCCCTCATCTCCTCATGATCAGTGCTGGACAAAGATGCTGTCAGCCTCTCAAGCCCAAAGTGAAGCCCGCCATGAGCTCTCACAGCTAAGTCACTGCTGCACCTGCTACCCCATCATGGCTCAGTGCACCCTCAGATCACACCCTCCCAGAGTTTCTTCCTGCCTTATAGAGCACAATAGTCCCTTGAGATGGCCAACTTACACTATTCTTCTGGAGAACTGCACAACCTTGAGATTTCATTTCCTTGGCATTGCTCCTAGCCTATGTTTAGTGCACAGAAGAGGTTGTTCTGACACAGCTAACATTTGGGAGCCAGGGCTCAATGTGACCCTTTAACTGTTTTGCTACCCAAGATCTTTCCTCCTCTAGTCTGTCCTTGGCATGGACCACAAAGACCTGGGCCCAGATTCTAGGTGGGCTCATACCTCAGTACAGTTGCTTTTCACAGTTAAGAAGGAGACATCTGCCTCAAAGTGTAGGGCAATCAGAAGAGTCAGGGAACAGTGTACCACATCTGTCTTGAGGCCTGGCACCAGGGAATGGACATCAGCCTTAACACCTTCATCACAACCCTGTCTAGTGTCTTGCACATGGTTCGGCCTGTGATGTCAACTGTCATCTACAGGGGAAAGATGTGCTACTCAGACCACTCCACCTGCCCCTAGGGACAAGAACCTTCTCTGTTGGTTCCTCTTACTACATTCAAAACCACAAAAGCTGGTCTAAGCCTCACTTCCCCCTGATGGACGTCCCTGGGAAGGAGCTGGTCCTCTCAAACTGCCTCTTCTGTGACAGTCTAATATCCTTAGAGCCAAGTGACAAAATTGATGGCTTGTCTACCAAAGCTTGAATCATCCTGAAGCTCTGAATGTCTACATGTTTGTGTTCCTGTGTTCCAGAGGCCACCACAGAGCAGCTCTGTCTGGAGGCTCTTAGCACCCAGCAGGCCTGACTTGTGAGTGTTGCTGAGGGCCATCTCCCCTCAGTCAACCTCCCTACTATGCTATTATCCCTTCTGGGGCTTCTCTGTGAACAGGTCCCAGCTAGACCCTGTGTAAAGCCTTCTGCACCAATAAAACCTAAACTGCACCAGTAAGCTTCTGGTCTCCAACCATATTACTTAATGCTCTTAGTGCTGTAGTGGAGGCCCAGACTATAATCACACCTAGCTGTCACAGGGAAGGCTATGGAATTCTTGGCAAGTAGCTTATATCCTCATAGTCGCTGCCTTTCAACTGCAAACTAAGAACATAAGTTCACCCCACAGTGCTGCTTGTGCAAGTCACATGACATGTACATAAAGGGTATGGCACAGATCTGGCATAGGCTCTACACAGGCCCAAACTGAGACATACATACTTCAGTGTAACAGGGATACAAGGTCAGGAAAGAGCCACATATCTAAGCTCTAGTGCTTCTGGTGAAGAAAAACAAGGCTCGGAGAACTAAAGCAACTGGCCTAAGAGAGCACAGGTCAAAGGGTCACAGAGCCTCCTATTCCTGTGAGGATCAGTGCTTCTATCTCTCAGCCTGGCCCTAAGACCCCTGATGCTTCAGCAGGGAGCAGTCTATGCACTATACAAGGAAGCCAAGCTCCAAGGCTCTTCCCTTTGGGCTTTACTTCTTCCAAAGCTGGGCCTGGACCTCATGAGAACCTGCATCTTAATTCAAGCTCCTCTGGCCTTCAAGTCTGAAAGTGCTGCTTCAGAAGAAGCCATCCCCGTCCAGCCTGTTTATTCATCCACACTTTACACGCTTTAGTTCCTGGGTGCTGTGCACTTCTGACTGCGCTTCATAGATAGGGCACAAACAGTAGTTGAGGGGCAGACTCTACAGCGCAACATTTCTTTTTTAACAAAATAAAATATAAGATAGAACAAAACCCATCACATTGATGGTGGACAAGGCAAACCAACAGAAGCAAAAGAGAAAGCACAAGAACTGGAGACCCACTTGTTCACCCACTTGGCAGGTCCATAAAAACACTAAACTGAAAACTAAAAATATATGTGGCAAAGGACCTGGTGCAGAACTATAGCAGCCCTGTGCTTGCTGCTTCAGTCTCTGTGAGTTCATATGAGCTCTGCTCAGTTGATTTAGAGGGCCCTGTTCTCCTGGTATCTTCCTTTCCCTCTGGCTTTTACACTCTTTCTGCCTCCTCTTCCACAGGGTTCTCTGAGTACAGCCCAAGACTTCAAGAGGTAAAGCAAGCTCAATGGTGGGGGTCCCTGCAATTAACACTCTCACTCTTTTCAGTGGCTACTCTGGAGAGAAGCACTGGAGGAATGATGTGAAGAACAAAAGCCTCCCCAAAGCAGTGATGTATAAGTACAAAGATCAGTCAGTAGTCTTGGCTGGGGTGTGAGTACCTCAGGCAGAAGAAAGGAAAAAGGTTCAAGGGAGTAAGCATGAGCTCATAGGGAACTACAAATACTGTCAGGCTTTGCGGGCACTGTAGTATAATCTAAGCAGAATAGGAAGCTGCTGAGGGCCAAAGAGATGACACTTCTACTTTAAAAGCCCTATGCTGATATGTGAGAAGGGTTATAGAACATAAATGAAGGATGCAGATAAACCACGAGAAGTGATCACAACAAGTTAAATAGATGACCACTGACCAACTGGATGTGCACGAAGGCTTTAGGTTAGCTTTGTGTGTAGCTGAGGACAAGTGAGTCACCACCACTGGCAATCAGGTAGAGAGGATCATCAGGTAAGCGACAAGCTCCAGGAACAGAGCAAATGGATGCAACACTTTCAGTTCTGAGGCTCTTCTTCAGGGTCCTTCGTGCTCCTGATCTGTACAAAGCAGATGCTCAATATACACCAACAAACATCACTTATAGACAAGGTAACCAGTTGTTTTTACAGAGCAGGAGTCATGGTGTTGGCCATCAGGAAAGTATCTGTAGAGGAGAATCTTTCCTAAGTGGGGGAGGAGGGTCCAGAAGGTCACTCACTGCATGCTGACCTGAACAGGAGGGCAGTAAGGCTAGAGTATGGGAAGCTCAGAGAAGAAGGACCCTAACTTACTGGGGAAGAGTCTGGACAGGACAGGGTCATGCTTAGTTCCCTGCTTCTCTGAAAGCTTAAAGATGTTACCTATGCAGGGAAAGGATGGAAAGGATGACATTGCAGCCAGAGCTCTTCCCTAACATAGGTGAGGAATAGGAGGAGAGCTCCTTAGAGACCCCTAGAGAACATCCAGGAGACAAGCACACTACCTTGCTGGCACACACAGAAGCTCTTGCCACCAGCAAGCCACTTCTACAGAAACCTGACAACTAGAAAGCAGACACCAGGATCCATGCCTCCTCACGAAGACGCCTTTGTTCATTCTTTACTGACCACCTTTCACACCATGTTCTGAGTGCTGTGGAGACCAAAAATTAAACAAGACACTGATAGAGAACCCTAGCAAAGGGCACATGCTGACACCCACATAAAACACATGAAGCCCTAAATGCAGACTAAGTGCATGAGGGATGTATCAGCCCAGACTCTGGCCTTCACACTGGAGAACCCAACCCTACCAGGGAACTCAGCAGGGATCGTGGGGTCTAAGCTTGCTGCCATATCACTCAAGGAGACGCATGGCAAGGCACAGGGCCTGTCCTCCACCCGCGTTCAATGCACACCTCTTGAGGACGAGTGTGAAGGGCAGACAGCTCTGTGTCGGGGCCACGGGTCAAGGCCCTGCTCTACCAGCTGTGTAGCTGCGGGCGCCCAACACTCTCGGGGCAGTCCCGCCCGGCCACCTGCGGCCCTCCGCAGCATGCACTGAGCCAGCCAGCCATGCCCTGCCTCTAGCCGTGGCCCGCCACTCACCCAGTTGCCGAAGCCGAACTGCTCGATGGCGTCCAGCAGCAGCTGCTCCTCGCGGCTGGTCCAGCCGCCCTCCGCCTCGGGCCCCCAGAGAGTGAATCGTCCTCCGTCTACCAGCTGGTAGCCGTGGTAGCGCCGGTGGTGGCCAATCTCCGCGCCGGCCGAGAAGCACTCGGGGCACAGCTCGATGTCCTGGCACTCGGTGCAGCGGAAGCGCAGCGGGCTCACCTCGGCCAAGCAGTACACGCAGTACTTCTTACCCAGCTCCGCCATCTTCCCCCGCTCGTTCGCCGCCCGGCCCGCAGCCGCCGCGCCCCCGGCCGTCAGCGCCCCGACGCCCGCCGGGCCCGC